ACAGGACTTCTCATCCTAGCAGATGTGTATCAGTCCAAAGGGGAATCTATCCTCATCCCATCCTGTGGGATGAGCATAATGGGTAACCAATCTTCAGGGCCACCACGTCAGATAGTAAGCACCAACCTCCGACTCACCTGTCCTTATCAACACAAGGAGGCTCCAGGGTGTCAAACTTACTTGTTATAATTTTTTCATAACCTACTCCCTTGCCCAGTATCATCCATACTCTGTATCAGCAGAGCATGAATAATACTGGTAGGGAATATCAAGGCAAACAAGCCGGAGCTTCCCTCCAACGCTGAAGCTGACAAATTGGAGAGCTGTCTTCTCATCTCTGTTTGCATTCACAGCCACCACCATGGCAGTGAGTTACATGTCCTCCTTCTGAGCACCAAAAACCAGTAGCTAACTGTATATCAGGATTATAAACACAAATGATCATGCATTTATTTAAAAAATAAATTATATTAAATATTGTGAGTGGTGAGGAAGGACTTTTATGTTTTTCTTGTTTTTTCTCTTGTCCTCTTCTTCAATTACATCGATGAGTCTGCCTTCAATAATTTAGTACTGTTCACTGTTGTGGATCCTTCTTGGAATCAGCAAAGAACATACAGACAGAGATTATTCTTACAGATCCCAGGGAAATCCTGACATTACAGGATGCATAGTGTTATACTACAACGGCAGAGAGATTTAAAAAATGTGGTTTCAGTAGAAGTGAATGGGGCATTTTTGTATCGAGAGGCACTACACAAAAAACAATAATGCAATACTATCCATTTTGTGTCTGTTCTTTGACATGTCCAATAATCTAATCACCCCCAATGTCCCATCCTCATCCAATTTATTACATGGAAATTTATTTTTTGTGAGTTTTTTCAATAAATAGTAAATGATTCAAACATTTAAAGTGGAATTTAAAGGATTAAAATCCAGAAGATAATTTAATACTTGTGAATACTTTAATACAAGTGATATATGAAAAAAAAGCAGACGAAATATTGTTGGTTGAGGTTTTTCTGGCAGATTTTGAGAGTGTAGATTTTTGTACACAAAGGTATCGAAATGGTGCAAAATGCATAAGCAGAGTATTGATGAGTAAAAGACAAAAAGACTCTAGATTTTAAAAAAGAAGATTTCTGGCAAAAATCCATGTTGCAAGCTATAATGCAGCCAAACGCTCCTGTGTTTCACTGACTAGAGTAACATTGCTGACATTGTACTAATGCCTGACTGTCACACTCCCACAACTGATTGCGGGTGATATGTCATCATCAGGGTAACCGGTTTTGTTTTTGGGTTTTTTTTCAGCATGAACTGTGAGTCTTTGTGC